TATTAGATGCATTATACTCCTAAAAGTAACAAGAAAATGTTTTACAAAATCATTAATAACTGATTAGTAACAATCTATAAGATCAAAAATATTTTTAAAGAATCAAACTTTAATAGACAATTAAAAGAAAGTATTTTAGAACTAATTCAGCTTTTAAACAATATTTGTAAAGATACAAGAGAAAAAAAAAAAGAGCTTTGAATCCTACTTTAAGACATAGCAAAGTATATAATATAGTCAATTTAACAATTTTCAAAAAAGCTTTGTAAAGAATAAAAATTCTATTCAAAATTATTAAACTGATATTAAAGCCATTTACTAATAAAATGATTAATATAATTATAAACATAGGTCTTACTGAAAAAGTGATAGCAGAAAATAGAATTAATTAAGAAGAAATAATTTTTCATATACTTTGGAGAATCTTTTACAATCCTCTTCTATATGAAATCCAAGAAAATCAAATTTTAGGAACAATATAAACTGTACTTGGTCAGTGAATTTCAACAAAACAATTCAAAACAAAGTAAACATAAAAAAGTTTTTCATCAGACAGATAGCAATAGTATTTATAAATAATACAACATAAATTACTTGATCTAAACAAAAAATATGGATTATATTTTAGAAAGGACAAATCAGTTTTATGCAGCTAATAACTCTCAGATTAATAGCAAAAAGTTTATATTAATAATAATCAATAGTAAAAACAAAGAGTCAAACAAAGTACAAATGGAAATTAATTAAGAAAACATTACTAAATTGAATTGAAAACATCATTTTTGCTTTTTAAAAGTCTGGCTTGAAAACAAGTATTATACTAAAGATATAATTTGCAGAATTTAACAAGAAATTCAATATGTAATATCTATTTTCAAAAAAAAAAAAATCTTAAACAAATATATTATATATATTAAATAGAGTTCTAATTTTACAAATTAAATACAGATTATAATACTGTTTGTTTAACTTCAACATAGCTTACATCCTATTGACACAACTGCAAATAATTTTAAAATATATTGCCAATATATTCATAATAATATTCAATTTAACAATTTATTACAAACTGTTATACAGACTAAAGAGTATTAATGAAATTTAATTAGAAAATCAAATCTCCAATTTTACTAGCTTGCTTAATAACTCTGAATACTCAAGTATTTCTATAATTATTCATCTCAAATAAGCTTAAATCTAGCAATAGAAACCTACAAATATATTCATAAAATTAATAATACAAAAGTAACTAAAAACAAATATGCCAATAGCAATTCTCAAAGTTGTAAACAATATAAGAATAATATATTTTGACTCTTAATGGATAGATAATTTTCAATATAAAGGAAGAGCCTACTCAATAAAGACACTATTAGATAATTGGACAATATATAATCAAGCAGTCCAATCCATGAAAAAATATAATATTATATTTATTAACTAACATATAAAAGCAGAAACTAATACTTTTTTGAATTAGAAGCTAATTCAGTTCCTGTATAGTTACAATAAAGAGTTCAAATTCTTTTGATACACAAAAGTTTAAGAATGTATAGTTAACAAATTTGGAGTTCTTAATTCAGATTGACAAAATATAAAATGAATACATCAAGACAGAACATTTTTTCTCAAATGTCTTAACAAGATATAAGAAAATAGAAATAACAAATATAACTAAAGAAAAAAGACAATCTTATCTAATATAGAAGCAAAGGAATTGTCAACTCTATAAGACAAGAAACCAAGATTTTCCAATTAGCCAATACAAGTAATATTTTAACAAAGCTGATTCAAACAGATTCAAGCTTAACAAATCTCTCTAAAAACAAATTATCTTTATTATTTAGTTGAATTAACAAGATCTTTAAGCTAAAGAAAAGCAAAAAACTATATATTTCTATAGAAACTCATGTATTTGAAAGTTTAATTAGACCAGATCTCACATATAAAACAAACTTAGAGCCTATATATCCAAATTCATAGAAATTGAAATAATTAATTATGGAATTCAAATCATATAAAAAAACATTAAAACTCTTGAATTAAATCAAAAATTAAGCACAAAATACAAGCTTAATAAAAACAATCAATATCAAGTAACATATCAATTCTATACTGATAGATTAGTAGGTAAAACTCAAGATCAAATAATTAAAATGAATACAGTATAGCTTCAAACCAAAGGACCTTGTCTAGAAAGAACTTTTCAAACAGAAATAAATAATTGACTATCACTAACAAAAGTCAAATCTATGGCAATCTTTTTTGCAATTCTAACAATACTAAACAAAAGTAAAATAGAAATTTAAATTAACAGTGCCAATTATATCAATATACAGTATATCAAAAGTTAAAAGATTCTTATCTAAAAAACACTATTAAAAAAAAGATAAAAATTTTCAATTGCCAACTTTAAATGCATATGTTAAATGCAATCTTAAAAAAAAAATTCAAATAATATTAATTAAAGTCAAGGCACATGATCAAGATATTGCTAACAACCAAGTTGATCAGTTAGTCAAGGCAGTTAAAGAAAGCAAAAATTTTTTTGAAAAGAATTATTCAAAAATTTTTTAATTTTAATTCCTTTCTGAAATAGCATTCCAATTGCTACTTCAATAAGATCATTTATTAAAGACCTAAATAAAAAAAAATACTAATCCAATAGGTCAATTAAAGCAAAATTTAATCTATATGGAAAGAAAAGATTCAAAATTCAAAAATATAAATTAGAAAGTATTTTAAAACCATTGTAAAGAAAAAAAATATATTTAATATCTCATTTAAACAAATAAAAGACAAAACATTCAAAATTAAGCTTATTCACAATAAACTTTTTATATTGGACAACATATTTAAATGTAATATAACAAGCTATAATAAATATACAAAGTATATATTTTGTAAAGTAAAGAATGAAACATTAAATTATTTCTTAATATATAAAGAAAGAATATAGACTCTGTTACAAGAAAAGCTTTTAAAGATTTAAATTTCTAAATATTCTATCTATTATTTATCAAAACAAAAAAAAATTATTCAACTTTTAGATCAATAAAAAAAAAAAATATCAAATTAGCTAAAAAAATAATTAATTTGAGTATAGGTTTATAGAAAAAAAAAATATCTTAAACTGGAAAACAAGCCTTTAAATTGCAAAAATATTTTACACTTATGCACATAAATTATTAATTAAGATATTCAAAACATAATGCAAGTTTCTCAGGCAATATATATGAAACTTCAGATATAAAAAAGTCCATGAATACAAGCAATTCTTAAGACACGGATTTGAAAAAGAAAAAGAAAAAAAAATAAGGAATCAATATCACTAAAATTATTGAGATTATAAGATTTATCCAATAATAAAGAAACCAACAAATCACAAGAGAAAAAAAAAGAATTATTAAAAAATTGTTTCTCACTATTCTCAAGTCACAGCTGTAAGAAAACTTGAATTCATCAAACAATAAAAAGAAGAAAAAAAACTTATGGAAAAACTCAAAGAATTCCTGTAAAACAAAATTAAAAAAGAAAAAAAATAACTAGAGATATAAAAACATAATCAAGATTTTAAAAAGACAAACTGTAGTAATGAACTGTAAGCTATGACTTCAAAATATACTTTGAGACAAGTATATGAGAATGAATAATTTTTTCATTTCCAAGATTATATTTATAGATACTTTTATCTAAGATGTGTATTCAAGTATTATTGTATATTTAAAAGTTTATGCATAAAAGTTGTAAAAACAATATGTATTCTATATTAAAATTAAATAAACTCATAAATACTTGTTTGATTATGGAAAAAATAAATAAATAAATAAATGCTTAAACTTGCAGTTTGATTAGAGAAAAAAAATTTTGATTAAAATTTATCAATAATCAAATAGTAATATATTAAACATATAAGTTTATTTGTATTTATATTATTTAATATAAATTATTTTAATAAATTTTAAAACAATTATTTCAAACTTAAAACTTTATTATTTAGCTATATTTAATTTAATCTTTAATAAAAAATATATTTTAGTTTGCAAACAATATACTAAAATGAAATATCAAATAAACAGCAAAGGTATAATCTTATTATTATTTAAAATCATTACCAAAATTTTGATCAAAACACACAAACGTTACTTTAAACTAAATCACGTATATCGATTTAATCTTTGTAATAAATTATCGTTTACATAAAACAATTTAAACCAACTTATTATACAACAGGACGTGTCACCCCGTAATATCTTGCTTAATCAAGCCTACCCGCATACTTACAGATAATATATTATTAGTTAAGGAATTTTTGAGATAAATCATCATCATTGAAGATAGGATCATTTTTAGTTCGATCATTGTCAAGCCATTAGTCTTGACGGAAAAGACTCATGTGAATACCAAGCCCGAAACGAAACGATTAAAGGATACATGAAATTCAGATTGAAAGCTGATCAAATGTCGGGTCTTAGTCTATATATTCCCACGACAAACCATACTTTCGATGCTCTTATTACACATGAAAAAATTCATTGTGTTCGCATTCACTTTAAAAAAATTCACATCCTAACCTGGTAACCGATATCCAATGACTTCTGAAATCGTCAATCTAGAGAAAAGCATGTAATTACCAGAATCAATAAACATTAATACGTTTGTTATATAGTAATATCAGTAGCAAGAAACAGATTACAAGAATATTTCAATGCAGTGTCCATGCCTTCTGCTCCTGAATTGAATCTTTCAACTATGCTATCACTATGAAGCAGAGATAATAAGGTGAAGACAAAATTATCCAAAGAAAAAAAATACAATAAGAAAACAAATTGGCGTAGATACATATATTCAAGTCGTTTGAACGACAATTGTGTTATATTTTTGCTATACGCAGCGAAATAAGAAAATGTTCGCAATCAAATCCCATTATTTCTATATATATATACACATACATATATACATATTATTGGGACTCATTGATCCATAACAATCTTATACGATCAGTGAATCGGTCGAGATTCATCATCAAACGCAACATAGAAGAAGGCGTGCCTCAATGCGTCACGCGCTTTAATCCGTTCGTTAGGATCATAAAGTAAAAGCTGTCGTATAAGATCGTAGAAATGCTTTCTAGAAATGGACTTTTCAGGCTCGATGATTTCCTGAAAAGGAAAAAAAAACTGAGTTCGCATTCAACTTGAGGAAACGAGGTTGAAATTATATCTGAATCTCACTTCCAAAGTACGCATGGAATCTACGTATTTACGACTTTGCTTAGTGGTGTCATTATTAGGATAATTAAGCAGTCTACCACCTCTAAAATATTTAGCCTGGTTTGTACGACTACATTCAACAAGCGAAAAGTGCCGAAATAAGTAAAAGTGATGAATATAATTAAGCATAAGTAGTAACAATTGAACACACCACATTTGTCGAATAATTCTATCGGGGATTCTGCCAAGCACATGTTCCATCATCGCCAGGTGTTCCAAATTTTCATGAGTTTGAAACAAGGCCTCTCCAGTAAACAGCTCGACAAGGATGCAACCAATTGACCAGAGATCACAAGCATATGACCAACCCAATCCTAAAAATAGTGTAATGAAAATGATTTAAACAAGGCCAGCCTTAATTGTTGCATGAGACATACCAATATTTTCACATATTAACCTAATATGACCTCGGGTGCCCGATAATGTCTGGTTGATACTACGGAAGAATGGTACTCATCGTCAAATGTCGCACTGCCGAAATCTATAAGTCGTATGTCGGTTTCATACAGCACTCGTCTCACCTTACCCGGAGTTCGCTAAATTGATAAGACAAGGTGTAAATTATTAAATGCCATAAAGTGAACAAGTAATAGAAAACATATCGCCGACTTTCGACGGAACACTTTTACATTGGTCATTAACCAATAAAATGTTTTCTGGTTTTAGGTCCGTGTGCACTAATTTCAAGTTATGCAGGTCTTATGACAAAAAATTCCGATGAAAGAAAATACAGTTATTCTCATACTTAATAACTGAAGAGAAAATTTACAAAAGGATACACGTAACGGAATGCAGTAGTTGTCTTGCAATATGTTGGATTTGGTTGAGGGGAAAGGGATTAAAATCGTTTTGTTTGAGGAAGTCAAAGAGTGACATCCCATACAAGTCGAAAACCATACAAATATGGTTACGATAATCGAACCAATGACGAAGCTGAATACATTTACTGATTAATAAAAAACGAATGTTTTCATCAACCTAATATCAATCTGTTTAATAATCTGAATTAATATAAAAATCACACATACTTCACACTATTGGGATCTTGATCTTTCAATGCGTTTAACACCCTGATTTCGATTCTACTAGCTTCACGATATTTTTGAACTGCACGAATGATTTTAACAGCAACCATTCGATTAGTTGAACGGTCTAAGCATTTAACCACTTTTCCGAAAGTGCCCTGTCCCAATAAGTTGAGTATTTTGTCTACAAGATTTTAATGTAATCATGTAATTAAAACGAACTATGACCGACAGTCAATAATTTCTAAGTAACTTACATCTGTTGTCCAATATTTCACCGATGTTTACAATGTAATGTCCATCTTTTTTCATCGTAGTTAGGTATTATTGCTTGGCGTGACGATGCTGCAGATGAATGAGACTAGAAAGGAAAACTATGTGAATAAAATTATATTCATCCATTTTTCAATCTATTATATTCAGGTCTCTTTCTGGAGTTTGTAAACACAAGATTAACAGTTGTGCATTTTACATTCAATCAATTAATCGTGATTTTTCTACAAAAGATCTACACAAATTCAAAAATTCATAGGGCCGAAAGGTACGTAATGTTAAACCAGATAGTTCTCGGATGATTTCCATATGTAAAAAAAAAGGCTTTCTCGAAAGCAATATATATTCGTTAAGCGTTCGAGAAATTGCTTACTTCTCTAGCCGAGATTGGCTCACGATATTGCGCTGAAGTGTGGGAACTATTCGAAACGTAAGAGCGATAGGCTGTTTCTCCATATTGGGAGTGAGTCTGATTAGACTGAGCTTCCTTCCGTCGTCTCTTATATGCACTTGATGTCGGTTGAAGTGGCACTTGAGACGACTGTATGTATTTACTCGGAGGAGTACGTCGGCCTCGCTTCATTCCTCTCGTTTCAATTTGCATGGATTGTCGTGTGTAAGAATTTGGGGGAGTTGGTGTGTCTGGAATGACTATTACTTCTTTTTCATCCGGGCGGCCGTTGCGATAGAACTCTTCTCGCCAATCAGGATTGGGAATACGTTTTACGTGAGGTTTTTTTTTGAAAATAGACATCGAAAACAATAATGGTTTATAGTCGAAGTAAAAATAATAAAGGTAAGGAAATAAATATCAAAAACTGTTCTGCAATAAAGTCAAGGAATCATTGTTGTGTGAGTTTTGAGTTTTATACATTAGTTGGTGTGAGACACAATTACATAGTGATATCATAACTATCATTTTCATCAATAATCACCTATTTTTTGCAATAAATGCTATATCAAAAATAGAATAAATTTTATTAGTTGAAATTAACGAAATAACCATGCGCATATAACTAATATATGCTTATTTTTCTATCAAAACTTTATCAAAAACCTTTTTTTCTTCTTTTCTTTTTTTTCTTTGTAACAAGAAATAATATTAATGTAACAGATTAAATTTAAAATATTGGATTTTTTTAATTATCTGAATAATTAAAAAAAGTGGTTTGCCTAAGAAAAAAAAATTTTTTTTTATTTTACTATATCAATTTCTTGATTAATTAATAATTAATAATATACTGTATATACTGTATATATATAATTAATTTTCAATTATTTATTATTAAATCAAATAAATCAATACAATAAAAATTGTATATATAAATCTTCTTAATTCATCTTATTTGT